TGGGAGTATGGGACTCTTGATCTCGGGATTGTGAGTTTGAGCCCCACGTTGGGTGTAAAGATTACTTAAAAACGTAAAATCTTAAAGAAAACAAAACAGGGGAGCTCTTACATAGTAAAATAGAAAGATGTCCATGATGTATTATGGGAAAAAAAGGTAAGAACATCTATAGTTCTAACTACGTATGTGTATGCATAGAGAAATCACTTGGAAGACGATATACTAAATTGTTAGCAGTATGTTTTCGGGGTGGGGGGTGAAATCTGGCACTTTCCCTGTGTGAGTTATACACGGATTTCTCTCCGCTTCTTTAGACTGACTTAACATCTAATTTAAGACAGTGTATTCACAACCAGCCAAGTACACACATCACTGATTCCCTAGCTCCCTTCTAGAAGTTTCCCAGCCCTCAGGTCTGAGTGAGGGTAATACTGCCTCAGAGAACGAATTTGGCTAAGGTGGGAGCTTGCGGGAGTCACAGTCACAGAATAATAAAGACAAGCTCCTCCGAAGAGCCTTACGTGCAACATTCGCAAAACAAAAAGCAAAGCGCCCCGAGGCTGTTAAGGCTGTTATGTTAGGAGACCTGCAAATGATTCACAGCTGGGCTTCTGCAGGAAGAAGGAAAAAAGGTCAAAACAATGCTATTAGGTGATTTTAAGATGCTGATTCCTCAGATCAAAGACTTGCTTCACCCCCACAGTGGTCAAAGGTCAAAGGTCAAAGGTCACAACATTAATATACGTAAAACATGGCCGGGCAGAGGAAAAGCAGAAGTTGCCTTCAACTCCCCGCTTTCACTTCTCACACAGTGGGCTTCCCTGCCCTCCAAAAGCAGATGGTAGGTGGCATCCAGTTCTCTGTATCAAATTCAGAAAGTCATGTCTCGGCTTTCCTAATGACGGACAGGGCAACTTCGGTGCAAGCCAGCTGGCTGAAACCTGAGCTTTCTGGAGATGGCGCGGGGATCCTTCCTGATTCAAGTCAGTTTGGGAAAAAATGCAACTTAGAGGAAAGAGGAAGCTTGCTGGGAGCTACAGCTTGGACTTAGCGAAGTGGTTCTTCGATCCCCGCCCCGGTCGGTTGGCCATCTCCGTCACGGAGTTACGGAACACTGGACCACGGTTCTCGGGGTAACTGCCTTGCTCTCACATGACTTTCTCAGACCCCCTTGCACGTTCACCTGCTGCAAAGTCAAATGCTTTGGCTCTGAAGTCAAGCACAACTAGATCAGATGCGTTTGCCCTGCTGGAACTTACTTTCTCACTAGAAATAGAAGGCTCCTCCTATTTTTAGCTCTTGGAGAGGAATCGCCCTTTTGGTTATAATAGCAATACATGGTCACTGAAGACACTGGAACATACAGAAAAGGCAACAATCAGCCCCACACACGATCCCCTGTCACCTTCTCCTTAAAGGCCACCACTGCTTTGTCACCTTTTTCCCATTTTTTTCCCCTCCATGATTAAGTCACATGCATACATATATAGAACCTATCCTACACTTAACATTGTATTCTTAGTATTTTCCCACATTAACTGAACCTTCAAAAGAAATTTTTCATTTGAAATATTTCTCCCAAAGAAGCATTTTCTCTATGGAAAATTTGGAAAACACTGAAAAGCAAAAATTAGTTTCCCATATTCCTACCATCTGGAGACAGACATCAGTAACCATCAGGAACATACCCTCCCTCCCGATGTATTTTTTTCATTATATAAGTATCATGCCTGTAGAATCTTTCCTTAGATTTCTAAAACCCAATTATTAGTCAGAGGCTGTGAATACTTCTAAAGGTCTTCACATCACCAAAGCACTTCCAGAACTGTAATTTCTCCAACCAGTATGAATGGCAGTCTCAAATTCTCACTAGCATTGTTTTTAAAGATTTTGTTAATTTGATAGGTTGAAAAAGTATCTTATTTGTTATTTCTCTAATATGGGTGAGGGTGAAACTTTTTTTTTTTATTCTTATGTTAATCCCCATACATGAGGGTGAAATTCTTAATACTGCTCACTTGCATTTTCCTTTATAAAAGTTATTATTTACACGTCTGTTGTTACCTACTTCTGTTACCTACTACTTAATAGGGTCTTCTTTTTCTTAGAGGATTATATTTGCTGAATTTTTTTTTAAGATTTATTTATGAGAGAAAAAGAGAAAGAGCGAGCGAGCAGGGGGAGGAGGGGCAGTGGGAGAGGGGGAGAGAGAGAGAATCTGAAGCAGGCTCCATGCTAAGCACGGAGCCTGCCGTGGGGCTCAGTCTCACAACCGGGAGATCACGACCTGAGCTGAAACTAAAAGTTGGATGCCCAACCAACTGCGCCACCCAGGTGCCCCTGGAAAGGAGCTTTTAGTACTAGTTTCCATCTGAACCCACTGAGGAATGGGACGATTCTGTTTTTGTTTTTTGGCCAGAAATTGCTTGATCCTGAAAGTCTCATAAGAAGACCCGGCGAGGAAGAGTCAAGCATACACATTACAATGACAGAGTGCGGGGAGAGAGCTCAGTCTCTTATCTGGAGCACGTTAGAGTAAAAATAACACCCACGTCTGAAATAACACAAAGTTACTATGAAGAATTATCAAAGCTTCCCCATCTCCAGTGAGGGGAAGAAGTGTGCGATGTGAGGCAGAGCTGGCCATGTCAGCAGCTTAGGCCAAACCGGGCTCTATGAAGTCTCTTAAAACCCATGTGCCTGGAGGTGGACCGGATGCAGATGAACTGCACCGTGTGTCCACCACAATTTACAATCTTGTTTTGTAGTTGAAGGGAGGGTGGGGAGGAATGAAAGCACCTAGGTTTTTCAAGGAAAGTTACCGTGTCAACATAAGGTCTTCAATCTGTCTCCCTTATTACAATAGTCCAAAAGTTAAAATCCTCACTGAGCCCCAACACCAAGACGTTTGCCAGTCCATCGAAACAGGCTAGAAACACATTTGCAATCATGTTCAGACAAGAAGTAACAAGAAGGAGAAATGCAGGCATGCAACTTTTCAAGTATACAATTTGTTTTTATTTACAATACCCTATAAAAATGTAAATTTAGAAACTTTAATTTTTATTAATTAGAACCAAACAAAAAAAGATAAAGCACAGAAAGGAAGAAATAATAGTCAAGTATTCACTTGATCAGTTGTGAGGGGAAGGGAGGAAAGGCGCAGGGTGGAAAGAGTCAGTAGGTAAGGGTGGAGGGAAGCTAGGTCATGTCACCGGGAGCAGCTTGCGGGGCCAGGGCTCCAGAATGGGGAGAAACAGAGATGGAGAGCAAGGACAGCTGGTTACAACGGAGGACTTTACTGTTGTACAAGACATGTATGTGCAAAATGTTGATTCTCTTTAAATATCATAACCTGTCCCCTAACTAACATTCGAAAAGGTGAGAATAGCAAAAAGTGTATCAGGACAGTCATGTGAAATGGACTCTGATTTAATTTTCCAGAGGGCTGTGATCTCTAGAGATCAAACCCCTCATTTTGCTTGGCTGCTGCCCGGGAGGGGGACGGGAGGGGGACAGGTGGAAAGGGCCATGGTGGGCTGTCCCTGCCGGGACCGGGAGCCAGGCCCCTGGCTGCCTGGGAGAGGATCCTGGAGACGAAGGGGAAGGACAGCACTTCTGCCTGTGGTGTGGAGGAGCCTGCAGAGCAAAGCAAGCCGAACTGAGCTTCCGTGGTTACCTCTGGAGGTTGCGACCCATGACACCAAATAAAAACGGGGAAGAGGGAAGTAAAAGCATGGCTTTATTGAAGTTGTCTCAGGAAGACAGAGCGAATGTGCAAACGCTACGCTGTGGAAGCAGGCTCTAAGTCCGGTTCATCTGGGGCAACCTTGCACGCCCTGGAGGGGACAGGCTCAAGTACACTGTAGCTGTAGCAGGATAAGGGCTTAACCGTGTGCCACTTCACTGAGGTGGACAGATACAAAGGAAATACGGCGGGGAGGAGAAACAGGACTTCTCAGCCTAGAGCTGGGTGTCAGCCAATTAAGAGTCCTGATTTTAACGTGCTGCATACCCTGTATTTATATTAAAACAAGTAGAACCCACCAAATTAATTACAAGATGGACTAGAAACAGATTAAAAATACATCAGCTGGTTTGTTTTTAGAGGAGGGACGTGTCAACTACATATTTCTCAATCTAAAACTCGTTCTTTAAAGATCCTCTGGAGATCACATGAACGTATGTAGAGGGGAGTGTGTGCATATATATATGTATTGGTTTCTACTTAATTGGTTCTCCTATAGTCGTGTTAATATGGGGCAATGAAAGAAGACTTTAATAGGATGAGGGAAGGAATCCCTTGGCAGGCTACAATCTACTCTGACTGGAGTAGTGGGGGTAGGTAAGGGGAGAGATTATATTTGTGTCTCTAGGGCAAAGAAAATGCAAAACTGAGAAGAACTGAGGAAAAGCAGGACATGCAGAACTGTAACACAGAAGGTAAGAAGGAGCCAGCGGAAATATCGCCCAGCCAAATTTCACAGAGCAGTGGGAAAATACGGGGCATTGAGAGCCAAGCCCTGTGACAGGAACCGGTCCCATGAGACGCTCTGGGGAACAAGCTACCTTCCCTCCCTCATCAGAAACACCCCGCTGTGACGGCTGCAGTGCGGGCAGCAGCCTAAAGGAGGCACAGGACACGCACAGGACATGCCTGGAGGTCTTTTATCGGGTCCCCTGAACTAGCCTGTGGGCAGACAGAGAGAGAGAGAAAGGAAACCTGTGTGAGTTAAAACAGAAGGCAATCTTTTGCATTAAAGTTACACCCTTGGTTAGAATTCTCTCGACAAAACACCTGAAATATCTCTACCCTTCCTTCCTGAACTCAGGGTGCTTCTGTAGCCCGCTCAGCACCTTCTATCTAGTAGATACTCACGTACTTGAGACAAGTCCTTAATGTCTTCCACTAAATTCAGTTTTATGCCCCTGATCTCCTCACCGTAACGTCTAAAGTGCCAACTTTAGTAAGATGTGGAACTCTCCTGTTTCAGACTTACTGCAGCTTTGTCTCCAGCAAGTTCAGTTTCTGTCGGTCAACATAGCGAGAAAAGAGGGACACCAGGTTTGTGGGTATAGAGATTGGCTTGGCCAGGGCTGCTTGGGGAATCCGCAGAAGTTCTCGGGTTGCCATGAACATCACCTCCGTCCTGAAAGAAAAACCGTTAACAACACGTAAGAACAATATGAGAAAAAGAATAAACAATGATCTAAAAGAACGTGAAAGAAGAAACACAGCCCGGACTGACCACTGGTTGTTCTGTGTTGATTCTGTAGCAGGGTCTGAACTCTGTAGGTCTTCCCCACGGCTCAGGACGACGAGGAGCAGTGACAGGCCAAACTACAAGAGGAGACAGAGGGATTCCAACTCACCTCTGCACCCGCTCCCCAGCACCACTGAGGGGATCCCAGCACTAGATCACAATGAGCCCGCCGCTTCGCTCTGCCGACGGCAAACATCCGGCGACCATGAGCTGGGGGCTGGGCCTTTCTCCTGGCTTTGCTCAGGCAGGCAGCAACAGCATCACCAACGAAAAGGGGAAGCCCAGGGCCAAGCGTCCTCTCTGCTCCCCCACCCCAAAGTGAGAAGAAAAGATAATTTCTTCCCTGTCACAGATAAGGTGGGGTTTAGTTTTACTTGTATTTACTAAAACAGAAATGGATTAAAAAAAAGTCAAAGACAAACTTTGATCAGAAAATTAAAGGTCACAGAAAAAGTAAGAAAAAACATTAAGTAGATTGATATTTTGAATTAAGAACAAAGATGTGAAGACCGGTGGGAAAACGTACAAAGAAAGATCACTGAAATGATCAGCATATGAAGAGACTTCCTTGAATCTCCTGAAAAAGTTTTCTTAACAAAGGACACACCCCTAGTGGACATATAAAGGTTGAGATAAGATATCCAAAGCAGAGAAGGGATACACAGATTTAATACTCTTACTAAGACTATTAAAATTTAAGCAACCTGCTTTAGAAATTAAAGATTTGTTTTATTCAGTGGGCAGTACCAGCAGGAAACATGTGGTCTAAAGGGGCACAGAACAGAATACAAATAAGGACAAGCAGCACGAGATGAAATGTATGAATCACAGCGACAGTGGATATGAAGGGAATCCGTGTTTCTGAGTTCAACTCACAGAGGAGAACCCTCGTGTCACTATCAGAAAAAACAACACTGGGCTACACATACAATCTCTCATCTGACCTCGTGGTTTTCTATTTATCAACACTAAACTCAGAGCCCAAGTAACACAGAAGGCCCACAGCCTGTCACTCCAGAACCCCAGCTCTGTCAGCTCTCAACCGCCCTTGAGTCCTGCTTTGGCAGGTTTTCAGGTGCCAGGGGGGAAGGGGCCTTGACTTTTTCACTGTGCTCGCACATGTGCCCACTGAGGAAGGGCATTACACTGAACTGTCACAGCGGTGGGCTCATCTGAATAACAGGACAGCTCTGAAATCGCCCGTCACCTCCCCTTACAGGTCAGGCAAGTGGCTCAACAAAGTGAAATAACGTGTTCACCGTCACAAATCTAGAGACTGGCAGGCAAGGAATGGAAAGCTGCTCTGAAAGCTCATGTTCTCTCTTCTATGTTACGCATCCGCTGCGAGTCTCTGGATCGTCAACCTGATGTAGATGAAACATGGAATGGGATGTTCTCCTATTTACAGTCTTACGAGCAAGAGTGAGGACTACCTGTTTTCTTCCTCACGTCAGAACTTGGATTTTATCTCAGACTACAATGGTGTGAACTCAAAGATGTTTTCCAGCCTTCTCAGCAGTGATGTGTGGCATGTGAGGAAAACCTGGCCACTGAGATTAAGTAGAAGTTGTTGGTTACAACTCTTGGAAAAGGCCCCAGCAAGGCAGACAGCAAATCCGCACCTTTTGGCCGCTCTGCAAGCACCTCTCTTCCCGATGGAGTGGAGCCTGAGAGGCCATGAGTGTGGCAGCCACCGCTAAGGCTGCAGAGAAGGCAGGCCGAAGGAGCCTACAGCCCTGACGACGATGTGGACCGGATGCCAGAACTATTCCACTGAGAGACGGAAAATCCCGTTTTGTGGAAACCACTTATTTCTAGCCTCTGACACTAGGAGCTTAACATAAATCCTGGCTAAAAGATGCCTTTTTAAAAAAATGTTTTTTTATTTTAGAGACAGAGGCCTCACATGGGCGCACACGCACGTGGGGAGGGAGGGGCCGAGGGAGAGAGAAACTTAAGTAGACCGCGCACTGAGCGCAGAGCCTGATGTGGGGCTCGATCTCATGACCCTGAGATCCTGACCTGAGCAGAAATCAAGAGTTAGACGCTTCACCCACTGAGCCCCCCGGGCGCCCCTGAAAGTTGCCACATCAGCCAATGTTTGTATCTGTAACTCATATCTAGACAGCTGGCCAAGTTCAGGGACCTAAGAGGGTGCGAGCACCTTGTTCTGGAGCACAGCAGCGAGGTGAGGGTTGGAGGGTGCTGGTGCAGCTGTGCTCTGAGGTAGGTTCATGAGCTGTTGCAGAAGGCTGGTGACAGTCACTGATGGAAGGTGATAGAGGAGCAGAGAGAAGGGACTCAGTAAGCATGGCAGCACCTACAAAAAACAGAGAAAAGCATTACATCCTGGCAACTGTGACTTCAGTCAGCCTGCATCAGTGGGCATGGACAGGAGGATGCTCAGCTGCACACTCAAATGGCCTCAGGCAAGATTTAACACGAAGGGCTGACAAGTCCAGCAGGTACTACTACAGTCTCAACAATGGGTTGGTTCTGAGGTGTCTACTGAGAACTTTTAAAGCTCAATTTGCACAGGAAACATGACTTGTGTGAACCAAGGGTGTAAAATCACTTCTCAAATAGACAGCAAGATTCACAATAAAATATCATCTCTGAATTCATCCCACAAATATTTCAACACCTACAGTGTGTCAGGCACTGTGGGCTACAATGAAATGGTAAACAGGTCAGACCTGCAGGAATCTAAAGTTGAGTGGGGAGTCATGAGTAAAGTGGCAATTTCGATATACCATGAGAAGGACTCTGAGACAGGTAAATCCTGAGTGCTGCGGAACTACCCAGAAGTATTTTTAGACCTAACTGGATCTTTTTTTTTTTTAAAGATTTTATTTATTTGACAGAGACACAGCAAGAGAGGGAACACAAGCAGGGGGAGTGGGAGAGAGAGAAGCAGGCTTCCCACTGAGCAGGGAGCCTGATGTGGGGCTCAATCCCAGGACCCTGGGACCACGACCTGAGCCGAAGGCAGACAATTAATGACTGAGCCACCCAGGCGCCCCCAGACTTAACTGGATCTTGTCTGATCTTTATACAAGCTCCATGAGGAAGCTGAGAAATGATAGACTTTACAGATTATTAGACAAGCTAAGCGAGCAGAAGCTCAGTATTCAGAGTTCCACAGCTAGTAGTGAGAACCAGAATCCAAGGCTGTTGAATTCTGGCCTGCAAGTCATTCAGGCCTTTTAGCCATGAGGCCCAGACTGGAAAGTTAAAATACAGTGCTACTAATGTAACTAGGTTCTAACACAGGAAAGGAAATCAAGGGTGCTTCCAGCACTCAGTGCCCATGGTATAAAAAATGATAGCTGATTTTACTTCAGATGGCATTCAAAGATGGAAAGTAGACTTTTAGGCATCTACTACTCTAAATAAACAAAGCTTTAACAACAAAAGCATTTTAATCATACAGAAAAGTATAAAGAGTATAATGAAGTCTGTGTACCCATCACCCAGCCTCAATAATTAAATCAACATTCTACCAATCTTATTAAATCTATGTCCCTCCTATATATCCTATCCTTTCATCCATAAATACTTCAGCTTGCATCTCTAACAAAATCTCTCACAGTATTCTTGCACCTAACAAAATTAACAGCCATTCCTCAATCTCACCTAATATCTCCTCCAAATTCAAATTTCTCTAGTTGTCTCAAAAACATCTTTTAGCAATTGACTTATTCTAATCATGATTCCAATGGGACCCACACATTGCATCTGGCTGGTAAGGCTTTTAAAATCTGTGAATTAGTCCTTTGCCCACTGCCCATCTTCTTTTCTCATGCTATTTAGTTGATGACGATGTCCTACGGTTTGGATTTGGCTAACTGCACCTCTGTGCTGTCACTTAACAGGTTCTACTATCCTCTGTCTTTCCAATAAAAACTGATGGTTAGAATTAGAGGTCTGGTAAGATTTAAGTTCATCGGGGGAAGGCAAGGGTAAGAAAACTTCATGGATAGAGCTGTGTGCTTTTTCCTGCATCATGTCAAGAAGCACATGGTGTCTGGTTGTCCCCCTCTGAGACAGTGATCACTTGTTTGCTGCCCCAACCACCATAAATTTCCCCATCCACCTTTTACCCAATGCTTTTTGCACCAGTAAGGATTGCTGTCCAGACTGACTGATTGCTTTTCCATTAGGGACTGTAAATTGGAGATTTTCTAATTTTATCATTTCTTTTGCATTTATTAGCTGAAAAAAAATTTTTTTTTTTAAGATTTTATTTATTTGACAGAGAGAGACACGGCGAGAGAGGGAACACACGCAGGGGGAGTGGGAGAGGGAGAAGCAGGTCTCCCGCCGAGCAGGGAGCCCGATGTGGGGCTCGATCCCAGGACCCTGGGATCAGGACCTGAGCTGAAGGCAGATGCTTAACGACTGAGCCATCCAGGCGCCCCTTAGCTGAAATTCTTCTAGGAAGAACATTCTATTATCAACTTTCTGGTTACCATGATATTTGGTTGTAATCAAAAGGCAGGATAAATGTTTTGAGTCTTTTCCTTATTTACCCATTTTCAGAGTAATTATGAGTTGATGGCCTAGCAATCTCGGAAGGTGATTAATATATTTTTTGGTATCACTGTGAACTCATTAAATTAAAAATATTTGATATATTTCAATCCACTTCTGTAATTTTTCTTTCTGATGCAAATTATCCCATTTTTGGCCAACAGGAGCCCCTTCAGCTTTGTCTGTGCATCTTTCACGTGGGACACCCTAGTAATCTTTTAGCTTCCTTACTTTCTGGCACAAGATAGTCCACGATTACCTTGTATATTTTATGCCTCAGACCTGCAACTAGTTATTGCTTCAAGAAATGGTATTCAGAGATGTGGTCTATTACTCTTTAACACAAGGAGGTATAAACTCTGCCCCTATAATTAACCAAATTTTCCTCACTAGCAGACACCTCCACTAAGGCAAGCATCTCTGAATTCCTAGTTCCTAGCTCTGTGCGATGTATTTCTAAGACCTAAAATAGTGCCTGGTACGTAGACGTGTAATAAATATTTAATAAATATTTACTGAATAAATAAATATTTACTGAATGAATAAAGCTCTCCCAAACTTGTTTCCACTGATGAGTTCCTCTAGGACTGTGAGTGTCCACCCCATGGCCTACAACAATCTATATGCTGTAAGGGAGTTGCTGCTTTTTGTCTGGCTTCCGTTTTCTAGGATAAACCTCAACTCCTTAAACTTTCCTCCAACCCATTTTTCCTTCTTAAAATCTTTAAAAAACGTATTTGTCTCATCCCACTTCACTTTTCCTGATGATAACGCCTCAACTTTGCATTAATTTCTTCTGCACGTGCTACAATTTTAAGGACTTTTTCAACTCATTATGATTTCAGAAGGAGTTAATTTTCAACTCTTTCATGCCATACCACTTAACAAGGTATCCTGGCATCATGTTTTCTGTGGATCATCACCAGCTGGTTATTGATCAAGCATCATCTAATGTGAGAGGCTCACTCTCATAAGTTCTAACATTCTGAACCTCACACTTAGTAATAACTGCCCTACCCTTAACAATTTCTTGCTCTGAACTTCTAAAATGATTCTAAATAGTGCTAATTTTTCAACTGTGAGGATAAGTAGAGAGCAGGTCTTACCAAAAGTTTACTTATAAACTTGAAAATCAGGTTGCTAAGTCCAGCCTAGTTTACATCATGATAAACGTTATTTACGAGCACAGCGGGCACTGGCTTGATTCCTCTGTGACACCAATCAATGGAGTCTGCAGCTGAATGTTAAGCTCCTGACAATAGTCCAGTGCATGATACTTTATATCCAGCAAAGTAACCAAGACCATATGTTTGTAAATTTTCGTGAGCATCAGATTCAGCTGGATTCTGTTAGAGATACAGAAGCCCTGGCCTTTCCTCTGTAAATTCTGATTCAACATGTTTGGAGTAGGGCTGAATTATCTGCTGCCCAAGAAATTCTGATACACAACACAGCTTCACGACTATGTCAAATACGATGCGATTATTGCATTCCTCAGTTTAGGAACTTGGTCTGTTGGACCAAAAATGGGATTAAAAGTATAGTCCTGGAGTAGACTTTTGCTTTAAATAATCAATACTACTACTGAAGGTTAGACAAGACAACATAAATAGGAAGAGGGGAAGATAAGAAATTTGGATTCTAGAAACCTTATCAACTATGAAGACCCAAAGGAAAGAAGTCCCACATGGGGGATCACCTCATCTTGTGCATCCTTCTTGATAAGAAAAGGGAGATTCCTGGCTGTTGTCATGAGAATGTCAGCTGCTTGCTCTGTGGAGAGGAAAGGAAGAATACGGGCAACCATTCTCTTCCCTTTTCGGATACACATGATCTGTACAAAGTGGTCATCACTTGGCCTGCAGGGGAAGGAAATACTCACTTAGGTCAGCAAGAACAATTTAACACATCCTTTATCTCCTCTTACATGTTACTGAATGAACTTGCTGTGCTCATTTTCACGCTACGAGGACCTTTGCTACAAAATAGTGGGAATTACTTCTCCAACTCTCAACCAAATAATAACAAGTCATTTTTCAAGTTTTGCAAATGTAGAAAATCGTCCTTTCACAAACGTATGTTAAACAGACTTGTTCAAACTACAGGTGTTCATTTCCTTTAAGTTTTATGTAACTAGACAAATAACATGGTTGATACAGCAAAATCCGAAAACATACATAAGCAAAAAGGATATAAAAACAATCATTTCAGAATTAACTTTATATTGTTATTTTTTTTAAAATTTATTTGACAGAGAGCGAGCAAGAGAGCACAGCAGGGGGAGCGGCAGAGGGAGAGGGAGAAGCAGGCTCCCCACTGAGCAGGGAGCCTGATGAGGGACTCGATCCCAGGACCCTGGGATCCTGACCTGAGCTGAAGGCAGACGCTTAACCTACTGAGCCACCCAGGCGCCCCTACTATACCATTTTTAAGAACCTTTGTGCTGTATATTTTTTCATTAAAGAAAATTAAAAAAAAAAGAGTCCAGAGAATCCATACGGCTTTGTTACTTGGCTTTCTTCACCCAACAACTTCTTGTGACAATTTTCCACCTCATAGATACACTTTAACTACGTCGATTTGATGGCCCCATAACATTCCCAACTATGGACAAGCCCACATTTATTCAACCAGTTGCCTGTCAACCTGACTCCAGAAAAGGTGTGTTAAAAAGAAGGGGTTTATTTTTATGTTCTGGTTTGTGAGTGTCCTGGCTTAGAAGAATCCCCAATTCTCTTGAAAGGGCAAAGGAAAGGGAGTTTTCAGGACAGAGTCCTCTTGTATTCATCAAATAAATACTTGAGGTTTATTTTACTTTATTTTTTTTAAGATTTTTTTATTTATTTTATTTGACAGAAAGAGAGAGAGAGTGAGAGAAGAAACGCAAGCAGAGGGAGTGAGAGAGGGAGAAGCAGGCTTCCTGCTGAGCAGGGAGCCCGATGCGGGGCTCGATCCCAGAACCCTGGGATCATGACCTGAGCCGAAGGCAGACGCTTAATGACTGAGCCACCCAGGCGCCCCAACACTTGGGGTTTATAGAACATTTACTGTCAGCAAGATCCTGGGTGGAAGAGATGACAGATATAGATAAAAAGATACATTAAGGAGCTTAGTCCTCACTGGAAGACTGATTGGCTGCCATAGCGTATGAGTATTCTATGGAAATCCCAAGAAAGTATAAATATCTATGCTTTCCATCTTAGTAGAAAAGACTACATGAAGATTCCAAGGTTGAACATGCTAGAATAAAGCATAAAGCAAGTACAATCTATAGGCTCAAACACAGAAACCAAATCATGTTCCCCACTGTGTCTCCAGTACCCAGCATAGTTCCTAGCAGATAGTGAATAGGTAGGTGTCGAATAAATGAATCCAGAATAAAGAGATTTTTTTCCTGGCTGGGAAGGATTATGAAATGCTTTATATGATGCAGCATTTGAGTTAGGCCGGAAGGATAGACTCTGAGCTTCCTCAGATGGTAAGGAAGATATCCCAAAGACAGAAATGTGGAAAGCTCAGGTCAGCCGAGTAAGGAGTCCAGCTGGTCTCACGTGTCCCTCCAAGTGTACAATTCTTACCTCTCTTGTCCAGGCAATTTCCCCCTTAAGTTGTCATACATGCTACAAATTTTGTGCTTTCTTTCATCCGCCAGGGCAGGTCGCTCTTCTTCTAGACTTAGGAGATACCGCCTTTCATAATCCTCCACATCCAGGAGTAAACTATACGTCTAAGTGAGACACAAAGCAGGCCACAGCATGCTAGGTCAGGATCAGAGTATTTGATAAACAATTTCACAGTTTAAGACCACCAGGTAAAGACAAAAGAGCGAAAACGAATTGTAGTAAGACTGAGAGGAAAAAAGTGCTCTTCTGAATCCAGAAAAACATAGTGAAAGAACTTAAAGAATTCCTCCGTTTGTTGTCCCTCCTGACCACTAACCCAGGAGATGACAGTGAATGATTACATCCTTTACAAACTTTCCAGCAGCAAGAATAGCACTGTTAACATACATGATCTGTATCATTGCTTCAAGTGATGCGTTCTATTTATAAACACAGCAATAATTTTACTCCCGGGTGCCAGGCACTGTTCAAGGCACTCTGCATGTACTCATTCACCAGACACTCTCCATGACCCAGTCAGAAAGAGACTATATTATCATCTCCACTGTTGCAGATGAAGAAAATGAGGACAGCACAGAAACTTTAAGTAGCCTGCCTCAAGTCACAGACTCAGAAATGGAGAAGACGTGATTTGCAGCCTGGTTCCACACTCCGTGCTCTTCCTTGCTACGCCTATGGCTTTGCTACATGGTATTTACACTTTACAAATGAATCGCCTACAGAGTACCAAATTTTTCTTAGTACCCAGCACAGTGCCTAGCTTCCAAGGGGCTATCCAGTGAATACCTGTGAACTGACTTAATTAACTCAATTAATTCACAGGTGGAACAATGTAATTTTTACTCTCATTTTCTTAGAAAGGTGACCTGCTCCCAAGCACTTAGCAGTTAACTGAACAAGCTTGGACAAAGACCCAGGACACTGTAACTGCAGTGTTCTCTCCACGGGGTCATAGGTGAGGCACAGCACATTCTTTTCTAGTGCGCTCTGATATACAGCAGGCATGCAGGAAGAATATATTCATTAATTAAAATCGCAGAACACTGACTGCTTACTTTTCCACTTCTTGCATACACATACATGTGACAGTTCCTTATTTGCAACTAACTACAGCAAGAAATTCTAAAACTTACTTTTTCAATGATGACAAGGGTTTTTCGTCTCTTGTCCCGAACCTGCTTTTCTTTTGTCTCCTAAAAAAAAGAAAAGACTATTCAGTGTGAATTCTTTGCCTCTGTTAAAAATAATTTTCTAAGCGTGCATATGTAGTTCCATTTGTAACAATACTGTAAAAGAATCTTAACTCTTTGTAAGTTAATAATCTTGGGCGCCTGGGTGGCTCAGTTGGTTAAGCGACGGCCTTCGGCTCAGGTCATGATCCTGGAGTCCCTGGATCAAGTCCTGCATTGGGCTCCCTGCTCAGCAGGGAGTCTGCTTCTCCCTCTGATCCTCCCCCCTCTCATGCTCTCTTCTCTTTCATTCTCTCTCAAATAAAGAAATAAAATCTTAAAAAAAAAAAAGTTAATAATCTAAAACAACGCTAACTGGACAAAGGTCATAGAACAGACTGAACTAACCCACACAGACTACTGAACTGAATTTACAGACAGGCAAAAGGTAGTTATAGAATGCAGTAAAGATGCAGATAATCACAGGAAAATCTTAAAACACATAGAAAAACGGTAATTTCTGAAACTGGAATAAACAACCAATGCTGTTTGCAGCCAGTTACGCAGTTTAAAGACTCTTGCCACCCCAAGTCTAGCCTGGCTGCCTTGGAGTGGAAGGTGTTAGCACCTCAGCCCACCTGCAGGAAACCAGAACACCAAGACACGCCGGGAGGAGCTCCGAGTTCGACCACACACAACTCCGTTGTGTCTGATTCCCTCCCACAATGACCCCCAGGCAGCAGTGACGACCCAGAGTTTCTTTTTTTTTTTTTTTTAAGATTTTATTTATTTATTCATGAGAGACAGAGAGAGAGACAGAGGCAGAGGGAGAAGCAGGCTCCCCGCGGAGCAGGGAGCCTGATGCGGGACTCGATCCCAGGACCCTGGGATCACGACCCGAGCTGAAGGCGGACGCCCAACCAACTGAGCCACCCAGGCGTCCCCCAGAGTTTCTTAAACACACAATTCTGCTGACACTTACATCATCCTCACTCCGCAATGTCACCACGGCATCGATCATTTTTCGGGGGTTATTCACACTAGAAACAGTAAGCTTTCCCAAAGAGCCCTCGAACTGCACTGCAAGGACAAAACATTTCCAACAAATAACTCAGCAATGCAGGCAAGGCAGTTTCAAAGACCTTTATAGTCTCTATTCTTTCACAGCCTAACAGTTCAGTACAAAAACCTATGTATCTAATGTGATCTCTTACCCAAATCTATCTTTTCCCATTTTGTGGTTGCAATGATAATAAAAATCTGAAGTATTTCCCCTTTATTATAGGGATACTAGAAATTAGAACACATTTCAAAAAGTTAAGGAATCTCAAGCACTAAAGGATCTATAAGTCTATCTGCTAAACCACTCATTCCATGGAATAAAGGCAGGTCTCTGCACTTAAGGACAATAGTCCTTATAAATGAGCTTTGAACATCTCTATATCCAGTCATCTATACAGTTCTATTTATCATATTGGCAGCTCATTGAATTTCTTTTACTGTGGGCCCAGGGATAAGGACCTTACCTGGCTTATAGGCGTGCTCCAGTTTGGCCACCTGAGGGGTAATGAGCTTGGTGCGCTCCTTTTTCGGGCCTTCGCCTTGTACTTCTTCAGCAGCTGACAGTTTCTCCAGTTTTTCAAAGTAATTCTACCACGTGAAGATGATTTCAGTTGCAACACAAGCCCAGAGTATGGCTGCTCTTTATCATACATGATTAGACTGGTGGCAGCAACAACTTGGGACTCTATAAATGTATCGATCTTTAATTTTTGCTAGACTGCCAGATATTTACTTCTCAAAAAATCCCAGCCTACGGAAAAGCCCAACCTCAATGGAAATATCTTCAAAGTTAGACTGCCAATATTTTTAACTGAGGGAACGAGATTATTGATGCCAAAGAGATTTCAAAACATTGGCCCGGGAGCCTGTGTGTGTAAGGAATAAAAGGCATGTACAGAAACCTTCTAGTGAATAGTGAGAGGCTCTCCAGCTTCGGAAGAGGACAGAATTTGCTTAGTCAATTCTGACCCAATTGAATACCACCTCAAAAGAAGATTCTGTCAGTATTTAAGTCTACCGATATTTCCCTGAGTGGCTCACCAGAGTAAGGGACTGGATGACCACCTACCTGGTAATAGAAATCGTCCAGGTAGGGATCAGTGCTCTGCAGCTGCATCATCTGGATTTTAGAGACCCAATCCTTCTCTCGCTGCAGCATGAGGTTGGCATAGGGGTCCTTGCGGAGATGGTCCTGACTGCTCCGGTGACTCCCTCTGTCTCCGGCGCCATTGAGACTGCGATGCTGACTGAAAACACACACGGACACAGGGGCGCATTCGCTCCATGTCAGGGCACTCGTTAGGCCTTGTACCAATTCAGGAACAAGCCGGGCCAGTTAAAAAAGATTCCACTTTGCGTTTGTTAACAAAGGAGGGAAAAGAATTGAATCTAATGGCAGCGTCGGAGAAGAGCTATGCGTACACAAAGAAACAAAACTGAGATGTGAGTGCCTCATCACGTGTTGAGCACTGTCACCCATGCACTTCTGTTTAAGCCCCACAATAACCCTAAGAGGTAGGTGGCTTTATGTTCTCCACTGAAGACAATAAACCGAGGCCAAAGAGGTGTGAACACAGGCCAGTATGACTCGCCATCTATACACTTTTTTTAACTTGCTGAAAAATTACGAAATACTTCAAATATAGAGAAAAGCCCACATAAAACATTCATTTATCCACCACCCAGACTTAGTGGGAAAAAAAAAATTTATTTGCCTCCATTTGCCTCAGAGTTTTAAACAGTAGTATTAAAGCAACATACTGTTGCACCCCGTCTGGATCCTGGTTTCCTGCCTCCCTTCCTTCTCAGAGGAGTTCGTATGCACTCCCCCTGAAAAAAAATTCCTTTTTTTTTTTTTTTTAAAGATTTTATTTATTTTTTAGAGAGCGAGCGAGAGAGAAACAGCATGAGAGGGGAGAGGGTCAGAGGGAGAAGCAGGCTCCCCGCTGAGCCGGGAGCCCGATGTGGGACTCGATCCCAGGACCCCGGGATCATGACCTGAGCCGAAGGCAGACGCTTAACCATCTGAGCCACCCGGGCGCCCGGAAAAAAAATTTTTTTAAAGATTTTATTTATTTATTTGACAGAGAAAGACACAGCAAGAGAGGGAACACAAGCAGGGGGAGTGGGAGAGGGAGAAGCAGGCTTCCCACCGAGCAGGGAGCCCGATGCGGGGCTGGATCCCAGGACCCTGGGATCACGACCTGAGCCGAAGGCAGACGCTTAATGACTGAGCCACCCAGGCGCCCATTAATTTAATTTTTTAAAAAAGATTTTATTTATTTATTGGAGAGAGAGAGAGACAGAGATAGCAAGAGAGAGCAGGAGCAGGGGGAGAGGGAGAAGCAGGCTCCCCACTGAGCAGGGAGCCCGATGTGGGGCTCGATCCCAGGACCCTGGGATCATGACCTGAGCCGAAGGCAGACACTTAACGACTGAGCCACCCAGGCGCCCCTGAAACGTTTTTTTTTTTAAAAAAGATTTTATTTGAGAGAGAGTGCGCTCCTGCACACATGTGTGTGCGGGGGAAGGGGCAGAGGGAGAGAGAGAGAAACTCAAGCAGACTCCACACTGAGCGTGGAGCCTGATGTGGGGCTCGATCTCACAACTGGGAGACCATGACCTGAGCTGAAACCAAGAGGTGGATGCTTAATCGACTGAGCCACTCAGGCGCCTCTCCCTGCAATGTTTTTAAGACTCATGACTCACGTATCCATCTTTAAATATTATACAGTATTATTCTGTGTGCCTTTAACTTTTACATAAATGGTACCAGAGATGTAAGTCTGCTCCTTGCTTCTTACTCAACATTATGCTTTTCATATTTATGTGTTGATGGCATACCCAAGTATATACCCAAAAGAACTGCTAGCATGTGCTGTATCCACGTTTTCAACCTTATTATTTACTGCCAAATTCTCTCACAAGAGGCTGAGAGAGGCTGAGGCTAACCAATATTCTTGCCAATGACGACCATTTTACTTATCTGATGATGTAAAATTGTTATATGATCTTAATCTGTATTTTTCTGACTATAAGCAAGCTTGAAATCTTTTTTTTTTTTTTGAGTTTTAGATGTACAATAAAATGCTTCAATCGTTTTAAATGTTACTGTACTCTTAATCCCATCACCTATTTCACCCACCCCCCACTCTCCTCCCCTCTGGTCACCATCTGTTTGTTTTCTATAGTTAAAAGAGTTTTTGTCTCTTTTTCCTTTGTTCTTTTGTTTTGTTTCTTAAATTCCACATATGAGCACACTCTTATCAGCTTTACTGAGGTATAACTGACATACAAAGAACTGTGCATATTTAATGTGTACAATTTTAAAAGTTCGGACACGCAAACACTCGTTATACCATCACCACACATGAGATACTAGATATATTCAACACTCACTAGAGTTTCTGTATCTCCCATTGTTTTTTTTTGGTGGCAATAACACTTTACATGAGTGAGAACCACACTCTTTATAAATTCTCAAATACATAAAACCATACTGTTAACTTCAGGCACTAGAAATTTCATATTTTTACACAAATGTATTAATCTTTTCCTTTATGGTTTGCACTTTTTGTGTCTTAAGAGCCTATTTTTCCCCTCCAAAAAATATTCTAGAGCTTCTTTGAAAGTAAGAAGGAATTACACACACAGAACCTTAAATTGAAGGTTAAAGAAACCTCAAAGTTATGTTTAATTTTCTTATTTTCTGTATATGAATGATTACAGAACGTCAACCCCAGGAAGGCAGGACTTTGACATATCTCGTTCTTCTTTCAGTCCCCAAAACCTACCACAGGGCCTGATATACAGGCAGGGCTACACATATAAATGCATATTTATATTTGTTGATGATACTGGGATTAGGAAGTGCCATCAGAAGCAAAAAAAGATTAGGTTACAGGCAAAAACAGAGTGGCTGTTGGCTTTATATTAAGACTGAAATATAAGGCTAGCCATTATATTTCAAAGTTACCTCTGAGCTGAGATCATAAACAAAGGTAGTTAAGAGTATGGTTAAAAACTTGGTAAGGAGTATAAAATGACTTAAAAAAAATCAGATCTAAATTATATTTCTGATGTATGATAAAGAGATTTATAGAATCTTAGAAATCAGTTGATAAAAGTCTTGTCATTTAAACCTAGTGTATCAGGGCACCTGGGTGGCTCAGTTGGTTAAGTGTTTGACTCTTGATTTCGGCTCAAGTCATGATCTCAGGGTTGTGAGATTAACCCCGTGTCGGGCTTGTCCTGTGGAGCCTGCTTCAGATTCTCTCCCCTCCCCCACATCCCACTCTCTCTCAAAAAATGAAAAAAAAATTAAAAGCTAGTGTATCAAAAACATAAAATGACAGCATATATGATCTTCTTTACCAGTAACATAAACTTAATACTAATTAAATTTACTTAAAAAGTAAACTAAATTAGTAGCACCTTGTTACACTGTCAAAATTAAAAGTTGAATTAAGAAACCACCAAGGAGCTGGATGAGTACTTAATTTTTTTTTTAAAGATTTTATTTCTTTGACAGAGAGAGCGACAGAGAGAGAGGGAACACAAGCAAGTGGAGTGGGAGAGGGAGAAGCAGGCTTCCCGCCGAGCAGGGAGCCCGATGTGGAGCTCGATCCCAGGACCCTGGGATCATGACCTGAGCTGAAGGCAGACATTTAACGACTGAGCCACCCAGGTGCCCCAAGTACTTACTTTCTGTTCTGTTGCTGTCTCTGATGCAAGAGCCGACGGTGCTGTGGATGGAGGTGAGTTGTGTCTGGTCTAAACATTGGGGCCTGAGATCTGAGAAAAAAAGGGAAAGGTTTTTAATTCTGCTGTCCTGTGATCTGAAGTTTTAGAGAATGTTGTCAGTATAGGATAACTTCACGCAAGTGCACTCAAGGGAATGTTCAAGTCTATTCTCAGGAGATCTTTCAGAAGGAAAAGACTGATATATTTTTACATGTCCTCTACAAAGACTAATTAATTCTCAACTCCTAAGAAGAGGATCATAAAATTTGAGTGCATTAGCAGTGGAACAGGAGAACTATTCTTCCTAACTGTAAACAAAAGTCTCGTAAAAGATTTAATGTAGTTAAGTTTTAAGATTTAAGATTTAATATAGTTTAGTTTCAACTATTTGGGAAATCATATTGAAAATGTATGTGTCATGGTCAATTTATGTCAACTTGACCATAGGCTATGGTGCCCAGTTGTTTGGTCAAACACTAGTCTAGATGTTGCTGTGAAGGTATTTTGTAGATGTCATTAAGAATTAAGAAAAAAGAGGACCTTTGAAAATGTGGGTGGGCTTCACCCAACCAGTTGAAGGCACTAAGAGCAAAAACTGGTATTTCCCAGACCAGAAGGAATTCTGCCTCAAGCCTGAAACACAGACATGCTGCCTGAGTTTCTAACCTGCCAGCCTGCCCTACAAATTTCAGACTCAAGACTGCAAATTCAACTCTTATCTGAATTTCCACTTTGCTGGCCTGCTTTATTCATTCTTTAAAATAAATCTTTTTGTTATATAAAGTTTTATGTATGTGCATACATACATACATATATGTGTGTATACATATATTTCATTGGTTCTCTCTGAGGAATCCTGATACGATTATGACATGTAATAAAATACAATTTCACTAGAAGCAGGAACCTGAACCCGTTATAAAACCAGATTAGAAATGTGCAACTTAGCTAGCACCAAGATGAGCTGACTACTTAGCATCTACATCTCTGGTCCTTAGCATGTGGTAATTCTTGTTAAGTGATAAGCACTTTGTGCACCTGTGTGTTTGTAAAATGGATATAAAGTGAGACCTAAGAAATGTCAGAAGAAATAAAAGAGGTGATTAACTAACAATATGCAAATTACACAGGAAGCACGTGCCTTTAGTGAAATGTTAATTCGTAAGAATGCCTGGGGACTGTCAAACATTTTTGTGTTTGATGAGCAGATTATCAAGTAACATCTCAAAACACACCCCTTGCAGACATGGAGGCCTCACTGACAAAGAGCCTTGGGCGACTGATGGGTCAACAGTGGCATTAGTTTGCACACCTTAGGTTTTGCAGGTGCGGCCCTGGGCCAGGGGAGTGCTGGGGCGGAGGCGGCGGAGCGGCAGGGGGCGCAGCACTAAAGAAGGCACGGAAGCCGGGTGCTGGGGGAAGCACCTGCCCTACTCGCCCTTGCAGCAACTTGGGATTCATGGCAGCAAGCGGACTACCAACAAATCCAGGGACCCGTGCAAACTGGCTGGGAGACATCCGTCCAGGCGGTAGCTAGAAAGAGGGACAAGATCTCAGATTTAGTGAATCAGCAAGGCCTCTTGCTTTTATCCACAGAAAAGTGAATACTGTTTCCATCAATAACTTTGTTTGAAAAAGTGAAAGAAAAAATAAGAGGCAGTAGAGACTGATTAACAGCAGAGAGAGAGAGATCACCTATGAATGTTAGGAAAGCAAGAGAGCTCTTCATGGGTTCGGCTCATCACAGGCTTACCTGTGCTCCTCCAAGAAGCTGTGCTCTCTGGAGAGGGCTGAGAACAGGAGGAACACTAGGAGGAAAAGGGTGACCGAGTAGGGAAGAATTCTAAGGAAAAAAAGAAAGAAAAAGACAAAAAATTATACATAGTCTGTGAAATAGGTAAATCGATATAATAAAGGAATTTAGTAGGAATACAGCATAAACTTGGATATAAAAATGCTCAAACTGTATCGTCAAGCTGTCTATGGAAGGAATATGAAAGAGAGCAATGTTAGAAATCAGGAAGCACTATGATCATGTAACCTGAAGAAGGAGGCGGTAGGATGAGGGAATGAAATAGCAGGAAACCAGATGACCATGCTGGGTGTGAATTTTTAAAGATAAAAAAAAAAAACCCAACTCAGGTATGAAACAACTGAACATGGTGAACCATGCCTTCTGACCTGGGGACCGTAAGATCCAGAAATTCAAGTATGGAGACTATAAAAAGCACACCTAATTTAGGAGATGTCTATATACTGGTAGCGATCAGGAACCATATGCTGCACGTTTTCATCAGGTTGTGAAGGGACATACCGGGACACTGCAGAGCTGGTTTGGAGACACTCTCTCACCATAGGGAGCAGGATAACGCGGTGGCATCGGGGGTCGGACATGGACAGGCTTCGGACACAGGATCTATCAGGACAAATATATACACAACTACACTCAATGAAGTCAGTTTTTCCTCCACCTACACTCCCTCCCCTCAAGTACTGGTAGAGACACAGAACTCAATGCAAAGCCCTACTTCTAAGCAAATCGCTACGGCTATGGGTTCACATAAGAACCTTTGGTCACTTCCTCTCGTAAACACCAAGCACCGTGCCACTTGTAACTGAGGAAGATTTAGCTAATTCTCCAGTTATCCCCACCCTTCCATGCTATCTGAGGGAGGTACCAACAGATATTCTGACTTGCAAATTCTCTGCAAGAGGATATTATTTTGGTAGCAGTGAGGGAGAAGGAATGATAAGAGAGCTGGAGGATTAACTAAGTCCTATTGTGAAGCCCCTGTGATATGGCCGCCATGCTCAGCTCTTTTGTGATACATTGTGACTCCACCGTTTCATAGAATACTGAGCCTAACTAGGCCATACCAACACCACCCTCCCCCCATACCTTCCAAATTGGCCTTCCTTTTCAGCTGCTGGTTTCAGGTGGAGGAAAGTCTATGGAACAGGACTGCACAGGCTCTAGGGAAAGCAGGGATATCTTAAAGGTAAAAAGGGATGTGGACAATGCTGTGTGTCCCCACTCCCCCCGGCTGTCAGTTACCTCTCTGCCAATGTTGTGGGCAGCCAGCAAAACACTTGGAAAAGGATATATACACTACATGTGGCTAACTACCCTTTTTCTCCCCCAGTTAAAAGGCAGCAGCAACAGGAGCAGCACCAGCAAAGGGCATTAGGGAATGTGTCTCTTATTTGTACTACCTTCTCCTCTAATTGGCTATTTCTCTTTCTCATCTAATGCCTACCCAAAACTTCCACCCTCCTCCCAGCATTGCCAACTTCCCAAATAATTTTGCCCAGATTCCCAATATCCTGGGCTGAGTGCCTGTTAATGAGAGGTACCTGTTGGTTGAAGCTGGGTACAGCCATCTGCTTAGGTGGGGTGCCTATGGGGACAGCTCTAACAGGAGGACTCCCAATGATAGGTGAAGTTGACCGCCGTGGTAATGCGCGCTCAGAAAGGTCTCGATCATCTTCTGGACCCTGTGGGGGCCTCTGAGGCAGGGCATATTCTAATACAGACACCGTAGGCATTTCCTAATTGAGGAAATAGTTAAAAAAGAGAGAGAGAGAGAGAGAGAAAATTAGCCCATAGCCACCTTAAATTGTTTTAGTAATCTGTACAGATGCCAAAATCATCTTGAGAAATTATTTTTAAATTTTATTTCACATCCAGTAACATTCCCTCTCTTTGGTGTACACTCCTCTGAATTTTGATAAATACATAGATTCATGGATCTACAGCCATGATCAAGAACAGAGCAGTTTGGTTACTCCCCAAACTCCTACTGTAGTGTCCCTTAGCAGTCAAGCCCTCCCACCACCTCCAACCATTGGTAGATACTGATCTGGTCTCCATTCCTGTGGTTTTGCCGAGAAACACTTAAGAAATTTGAATTATAAGCTAACAAATCTGAATTCTAATGGTTCCCTTTCAGCCTTTCAAAATAAAGCACAGTCAAGTGAGCATTGCCTGGAGGCTGAGTAAGTGTACAATCAACCAGTACAGCTATGAGCACTGGGTTAAGTAATCAACACAACGGCAAATGATATACATCGATACATTGTTTCAGTAAGGAAAGGATCAAGACAGGAGTTTTCGGATACTAGGAATTTGCATAAAGAGAAAATGCTTAATACCTGAGCAATCAGCGGCCCTCGGATTCGTCTCAGAACTTCAGATCCATCCCAGATGCTGGAATTGAGACTTCCTGGTTGGGGCTAACAAAAAAGGAAAACACATACACAGTCTGGAATAGTGAGAGCTTTCTGGACAATTTACCTGCTCTCGGTGAACAAGGCTCCCGAAGAGTCTCAACTGCTTGAGAAGACGAAATTACAGTGTTCCAGAAGATACATTATTCCCTACCTTCAACTGCTGTGATCAGGAATTATATTAACAGTTTTCTATGGTATATGCAAGTTTCTCAGGGTAGCAGATGAAACAAAATGGCACAGCTCAATACTTTACCTTAATTACTAGTTTGCGATAGTTCTCAAATCAGAGTAACTTACTCACTTGCAGAACTGGCCTGGTCTGCACTGCCCTCATGATAGCTGGATCTTCTAGCTCATTTTCAATCACCATCTTACTGAGCCTTTCTGCCAGATTCTCCTCATGGTCACCCAACACGTCCATCTCATCCCTTTCTCCATTGCCTGTTTGTTCATTAACTGCTGGCAGCTTCTCTTCCAATTCAGCCAGGCGCTCATGTGCTTCCTGCCAATCATCATCTGTAAGGAAATCATAAGAAATATAGTTCATACTGAGACTAGAAGTTTTGTGAAATTCTTCTGTTAACCAAATGAACGACTCTAACTTCAGAAGATAGTAAATTTCCACTTAGAGACATGAAATAAGAGTTAAACTAAGGGGCATAGGAAAGTGGGCTTTTCACTATTAAGGACTAATAACATCATACCAGGAATATAACTCAAGCACTTAGAGTGATACAGCTTAATACGTTACCAGTGGCATCCAAACTGTATTCTGAAAATTTCTAAACGGGTGATAGGTATGTACACAACAACCCGTTGGTTTTGAGATTCTTTTTTTTTTTTCTTGAAGATTTTATTTATCTGTCAGAGGGAGTGTGTGCGAGCGCACAAGCAGGGGGAGCGGCAGGCAGAGGAAGAGGCAGGCTCCCCACTGAGCAAGGAGCCCGATGAGGGACTCGATCCCAGGATCCTGAGATCATGACCTGAGCCAAAGGCAGACGCTTAACTAATGAGTCACCCAGGCATCCCTGGTTTTGAGAGTCTATGACATATCAGGGAAAAAGTTAAAACTCACTGCATTAGCATACACGTTCTTTTAGATTATACCTGCCATCTTTTTTACAAGCTCTCCAACCCATTTATCTCATTCAATTAATATGTGTTGAGCACCTATTATGTGTTAACGTTTTAGGGACATGGGATAGATCAGTGTACAAAAGACAGAGAGATCCCTGGCCTCCGGGGCGCCTGGGTGGCTCAGTCGTTGGGCGTCTGCCTTTGGCTCGGGTCGTGGTCCCAGGGTCCTGGGATCAAGCCCCGCATCAGGCTACCTGCTTTGCAGGCTACCTGCTTCGCAGGAGGCCTGCTTCTCCCTCTCCGACTCCCCCTGCTTGTGTTCCCTCTCTCGCTGTGTCTGTCAAATAAATAAGTAAAATCTTTGGGAAAAAAAAAAAAAGATCCTTGGCCTCCTACAACTTTCCTTCAAGCAGGGAAGAGACAGATAATAGACAATAAATTTAACAAATAAGTAAATTATATACTATATCAGGAAATGAAATGCTATAGGCATATGGAGGAAAAGCAGGTTGAAAACCTTAAATGGGATCGTCAGAGGTACACCTCATTGGGAGGGTGACATCTGAGCAAAGATTCAAGGGTAAGATAGTTAGCCATGTGGATTATCTGGGAGAAAAGTGTTCCACACAGAGGGACAGTCTGTAGAAAGGACTTTAAGACGAGTGACGATCTTGAGAGATAGCAAGGACTGTGTCTGGACTGGAATGATCAAGGAAGAAGAGCGGGAAAAAAATGAGGCCAAGTAGGCAGTAGGAGGGAGCTCCTTTTGGGCCTTTTGGGTCACTCTGACTGAAATGGGGGGCCACTGGAGGTTTTGATATGGCTTGACTTTTTGACAGAAACAGTCTGGTTGCTTTATTGAGAACAGATTCGGGATGTGGGGGATGAGCGGGGAAAGGAGCAGAAACACTGGAAGCATGGAGGCCTGCCGGGCAGCTACTGCAGCAACGCTGGGGCGAAGGTGATGGTGACCCGGACCTGGGTCCGGTCCTCTTCCATGTTAACACCACCCTGGCTATCCCTGTACACTCCTATATAGTCTGTAGCACTGGCACTCGCTTGTTCTCTCACTTTGTATGCCGATGCAGCTTTGAGTCCTGCTCAGCACAGGTAAAAATCTTCACAGCCCTCCATCAGCTTCTCAAAACTAGACCTTATTTCCATCACTCTGTCATTCCAGTACTCCTCCATCTCATCGCTCCCTTCTGCTTCCACTGGAAAAGCTCTACGCACTATTTTGCTCCTTTTGGCATTCAAATTCAGATGATCTTTCCTTCCTCATGGAAGCTTTGCCTAAATAATCTTTTCATTTTAATGCTATCTTCACCTCATCTAAACATGCAAGACTTTCAAACTCACAAAAACCCCATGTATTCCTATATACTTTATTCTTAGTTTCGTTCTTTATGCCCTATAAAATTCAACAGAAAGGGATAACAGATTATTCTCTTTTTTTAAGATTTTATTTGTCAGAGAGAGAGAGAGAGAGAGAGTGCATAAGCAGAGGCAGAGGGAGAAGCAGACTCCCTGTTGAGCAGGGAGCCCCACGCAGGACTGGACCCGGGGATCATGACCTGAGCCAAAGGCAGACACTTAAGTGACTGCGCCACCCAGGCACCCCCATGATTCTCTTTATAACTAACATAAAAACACAGAATTCTTTCTGCAAGTGTCCTCCCCAGTGGCAATCCTTCTCACATAATTTCTCTAATACCTCATTAAAAAAAAGGGGAAAGAAGAACTGGAAGCACCATAACAAGAAAAGAAAAAGGTGCCTGGTATACATGAAGGGTATAATAAATGGTAGCCACTTAAAAAAAAAAAAAAAGATTTAGATTTATTGACAATTTTCTGAGGGGCTCATGTACAACTTGTTAAAATTATTTTTTTTCCTGCTTACAAAGAAAATACACATTAATTAAAAATTTAAACATCACAAAAATATGTAGCTTAGAAAGTTCCCCAGAATTCTACAGGTTGTTAAGTTTTTCAAAATGCATACTATAAAGTTTAACTTGTTTCTTTTTATTTAAGCAATACATCTTGGACACTTTTCATGTACATACACTTGCATGTAACTATTGATAACATTATCTCATTCTTTTTAATGCTGTTTAAGATTCTATTCTATTGATATACTAATTTAACTTATCTCTTACTGATGGAAATTTGGATTATTTGCAAATTTTCAATGTAATGATTAATACCGTAGTATTATATATATCTTAACATCTTATGCAAATATTTATTAAGTAGGCTAAGTAAGTCCCTTAAATCCTTAAAATTCATTATTTTTATTTCATAACAATGTATCACATAACACTAGTGATCCAAAAAGCAAGTGAAGGGAGACTTCCAGATGTATAATTTGGTATGATGAGAACCACTGTCTAGTCTTTGGGCACTGTGATATATTTGAATGTACTATTTGTGGTAAAGAAAAAAACTCACTTTAGATGAAAACTACAGTATTAATTTAAATTATCAGTTATCTGGAAAAATATTCTTAAAGATTAGTGTTATTAAAAATCAATTGTACTAGGTGTTATATGCAACTAATGAATCACTGAACACTACATCCAAAACTAATGATGTACTATATGTCGGCTAATTGAATTTAAATTAAAAAATAAATCAATTGTGACATTAATATTTGTGTCATCTTTGCTAAGGAAGAGTAAGCTGAGCACGTTTTTAAAGGATAGATTGTTTGTTGCAATTTTACTAACTCAGTGATGCCAAAAAAATGGGGACTCTATAATCCTGAATGAGGGGATTTTTTTTTTTTTACATTTATTTCCCCAATTTAAGAAGTTAATTTGTTAGTGGTTTGCTCTAATGCAGAAGAGTTCTTAAATTTGTGTTGTCTTCATTCACCACGTCCCACACTCGTGCTTACTAAGTTTATCAGATCCTACCAAAGATGAATAGTTTGTCCTTAATTTAAAAACACTGGTTAAATAGCCATATTCTGTGAGGACGGCTCTGTTGTGAATTGACTATTACTGTTTCAAACATGTAAGCAAACGAATCTATGCCACAGAATCCCATCATTATCATTTTAGGTTTTCCTTGCTCTTGTGAAAACTCATGTGAAGCAATATGCCAAGAGATCACACATCTCTACCATTAGAGGATACTTCACTCCTATCTTTTTCAAATGACCTAAAAATAAAGTTACTTAGATATGCCAACGCTTGACCTCAATCCACAATGGTCAGAATGATAAAGGGTAGGCAAAGGAATACCAGAAAAATGAAGAAAAAGTAGTATTTTTCCTTCAACTAATTAATTTATATCCTGATGTGACAGGTTACTGAATCCACCCACACACCCCCTCCCCCACCAGCTGCTGTCTATCTCAGGAATATTTCTGAATACACACAACATGAAAAGGAAGTACAGGTGATTTAATTTTAAGGCAACCTAAGTCCCTAAAGATTATAGCAGCTATCAATAAAACAGAAGTGGAAAGAATGGGGACCCCTTCCAAGCAGAGGCAGGAGATTCCCAGAGATTCCTCAAGGACTTTTGTTTAAACATAACTGGTAGTTTACCCTGATTGTATTTATAATTACTTCACCTCTCTCATACTTTCCTTCCTCATTTGTTAAAATGAGGATGATAATAGTACCTACCTCACCAGGTTCTTGTGAGGATTAATAATAAATATAAAACACTTAGAATGGTGCATAGCAGATAATAAGCACTGTGTAAGTGTAAACTTTTGTTTTTAGAGAATGAGTTGAGATTACTGTGACCATTTACTGCTCTAAGATTGATGTAAACATTTTTCCATGGAGAAGACAAGGACTAGTTTTTTTTTTTTTTTTAAGATTTTATTTATTTATTTCAGAGAGAATGAGAGAGAGAGCACGTGAGAGGGGGGAGGGTCAGAGGGAGAAGGAGACTCCCTGCTGAGCAGGGAGCCCGATGCAGGACTCGATCCTGGGACTCCAGGATCATGACCTGAGCTGAAGGCAGTCGCTTAACCAACTGAGCCACCCAGGCGCCCAAGGACTAGTTTCTTAAGGAAAGATGACATCAGAGCATTAGTAGCCAGTGACTTAAAATAACTACTAACAAGTATCATTCAAAACACCCACTCTTTGAGTTAAAAACTATCAAACCATAACATATGTCAAAGGCCTGACATTTTACCTCCTGGTTTAAATTCTTTACACCAGCTGTCTATCTACCTGTACGGTGCATTAAACAAATCACAGGTTGACTTAGCAATTTTTTTTAGTAAATAAATCTGTGCAATATTTATATCAAGATATTATAAAGAGTTAAGTTTTTTGTTTTTTTTTTTTTTTTTTTAAAGATTTTATTTATTTATTTGACACACAGAGAGAAAGCACAAATAGGCAGAGAGGCAGGCAGAGAGAGAGGCAGAAGCAGGCTCTCCACTGAGCAGGGAGCCCGATGCGGGACTCGATCCCGGGACTCCAGGATCATGACCTGAGCTGAAGGCAGTCGCTTAACCAACTGAGCCACCCAGGCGCCCCAAGTTTTTTTTTTAAAAAGATTTTACTTATTTGAGACAGAGAGAGCTCGCGCACATGCACAAGCGTGGAGAGCATGAGTGCGGGGGGGGGGGGGGTGCAGAGTTGGGGGAGGGTAGAGGAAGAGGGACAAGCAGACCAAGCAGACTCTCCACTGAACAGGGAGCCAGCCACGGGACTTGGTTCCAGGACCCTGAGATCAGGACCTGTGCCAAAATCAGACACTCAACTGACTGAGCCACCCAGGCGCCCCTGAAGAATTAAGATTTTAACTTTAGGGGCATTTGGGTGGCTCAGTCAGTTCAGTGTCCAACTCTTGATTTTGGCTCAGGGTCCTGAGATCGAGCCCTGCATTGGGCTCTGCACTGAGCATGGAGCCTGTTTAAGATTCTCTCTCTCCCTTTACCCCCCAACTCGTGTACATACGCAGACTCTCTCTCTCTCCCCCAAGAAAGATTTTAACTTTATAATTCATATATATTAGAAGGATTCATATTTGGAAATCTTTTCTCCATTATAAACTTTGTTGACCAAGAAGTCTTTCTTAATCACTTACGCCCTAGGGTACAAAGTGGGCTAAGCATAGGCTACTTCACTGCCTTTACTTCTTACTACCTGTTCTTTTACCATGTAACCCTAGGGGCTTTTTCAACGTGTGTGAACTTTTCTTTTTCCTACCATATCGCATGCAGTTTTGTACACTCTAATGTCCTTTTAAGGCAGTATTTTCCCCAACTTGTGAGGAACACAGAAGCAGAAAAAGATTGTCCATAGCATGCTGGAAGTCAATGAGAAGAGATGAGACTATTTCTCTTCTGTCCAGGTTCAAAACTGAGGACATCTTAGTATGCCATCTCATTTTAATATAATATCTCTAGATCAATTCCATCAACTTTATTTAATCCTGAGGAATTTGCTAAAAAAACAATAACATTCAGTACAATACTTTAAAAGAAAAGGAGCTCTAGAAACAAGCACACAATGTTTGTAACTTCTATTGTATCCTACAGGTTATTACTAAACTAACTTCCAAAAACAATTTGCAATTCGCATCAGTTCCTTGCATTTGCAATTCTATTCTGCATCTCTTTCCCAGTGATCTCCATGGAGAGAGAACAGCATCTTAGATCATGTCATCCTCTTGGAGGCTCTCATCTCCTAAACTATGGCTATGATCCAAAAGGTCTTTGGTTTCCTTCTGTAATCAGTCTCGCTTCTACCTTAAGTGCTTCTCTTGCTGCTCCTGATAGTGGCAGTTTTAATCTCTACTGAATTTTGTAAACCTTGACTAACAATACTATGCTTTCTCATTTTTTCCAATTAATTCAGCTCAGTCTAAGTTTTAATAAATTCAAGCTACTCACATCATTGCAAAATGAGTAACCATTATCACACCTTTAAGACCTTTTATTTGTTTTTGATATTCAACATCTTAAGATCAGTCACTATTGTGAAATTTCCTCTTGCTACTTAACTTTGAATATTTGCTGCATAGACAGAAATGCTGATTCCAAAGAAATCACCCATATTTACACATCCCAGCAGAAACAGTTATTGCTACTTTTCAACACCAATGGTTAAAGCAAAAATATTTGCATTAACTCTTACCTACTTCTTTTTTGAAAACACATTTTATTAGTATATTTGCTCTAGGATCTCTAATTCTCAAACTTTATCATACAAAATTGTTGCCTAAGTTTCCCATTTTAGATTATTATAACTCTTGAGCCATGTTAAGTTTAGTCTGGCTCTTTAATTTTTTTACCCTTTAACAACCCCTAAAATATTTATCTACATCTTGGGATGAGAAAATTTCATCTGTGCACAACACTTTTCTAACTTAAGAAGACTTCCTATACCACAATTCTTAGAATAAAATTCTTTTTATTTTATTGATGATACTATGTAAGGCAATAGTGGGGTCATGCAAGACATCAATGGTTAGCTGAGTTTTAAAACATACACACCCAAGTCCAAGTTTTCTTTTAGTCTACGAGTTTTCCAAAAGTTACATGTTCCACAAGTTAAAATTTCCTTCTTCTAGGATTATTTTAAATCTTTATAAGATGTCTACTTGTCTAACCATTTGCATGCCTTATAGCATCAACCTAGAGCCATAGATAATATAGCTGGAAGGCACAGGGCTCAGAGAACATCTGGGTTTTATACATAAATGAGGCAAAAAAGGGGCCCAGGGGATTGAGATAGATGCTTCCAGTGAAGACTGAACTATTCTGAGACCAAGAATAGAATATTTTGCTAAATTTGTGAATGTAGTTACTCCTAAGACAAAGCACTTACAAAAAAGAACATTTGAAGAGCAAGAGACCAAGATGACATTATAAGAGAAAGATGTCACTTACCAACGGCACCTGACCCAAATGTATCATCATTGAATTGATCAATCTCTTCATCTTCTTCTCCCAAGCCCTGAAATGCATCTTCATCTTCATCCAGAGGACAATCCTCTAAAGACTAAAAAAAAGAGAAAAGAGATTATCTATTCATGAAGTTCACACCTTCATTTAAAAAATGTTCATTTTATCTTCCAATGATCAGAATAGCTTATGACCTCTTATAAAGACAGCATTTTTTTCTACCCCCAATTTTACTGACATTGGAAAATGGCAGTATCTTCTTTCAGTTTCTCTTTTCCCAAACACTCCCATTTCTCTATCAAGAATCTAATAGTAGTATTTCTTCAGGCAACCAAGGAATTAGGCCCCCAACTTTCTTGACATCACTGGTTAGAACAGTAATGACAACTCAAAATGCACACTTTATCATTATTTTGAGTTTTATGTATACTTTTCAACAAAAGTATCATGTTCCTCATTTTCATGTCAAAATTTCAACTATTATGTCCTTTTAAAGCTTTCTCTTCATTTCCCCCCGTTCTGTTTTCTGTAGGCCCAAACTCTGGTGATGAAACAGAAAGCTAAATTTTCAACCCCAATTAAGTGAACTCTGGAAAAGCTGTGATATGGTGAGTTCAAGTTTTGGCCCCATTCTTACAAGTGGTGCAAACTTGATTAAGTCATATTCTGGTTAACTCATTAAATACCTCTTAAGTACCTACTGTGTCTCCAGCTCTGTGTTAGGCTCTGAGTGGTAACAAAGGGATGATACCTTAGAGAGTTGTGAGGATTAAATGAGGCAAAGATTTGGCAAAGATTACAGATTGCTAAACAATGCTAGTTATCACCAATAATTTAGGTCTGTTCTATTTTAAATATTACCCCGCTCCACTTCAGTTTTCAACTAATTTCTTATTTTCCAAGTTCTCTTTTCTTTTGGCAACTCAGCCCACTGCACCTCATCATCTCCATGTTTACATCAAGTCAGTTTGGTCTTGAACCATTCCTATCAAGTACATGTGTCCCCAGTTTGCAAAGACTCAGAATCACAATACCACATATCAACAGGCAGGTCTGTGATACACCTTGCCAGGCAACCTCCTTAAATAGGCTTTCCCAAAAGCAAGGTTAGGCCGAAAGGCCATTCTACCCGTCTTAAGCCCTTCCAAACTTGCACAAAGCAGGCATACAACTGCCTCCACATCAGAGGCAACTTCTAGCTGCACTCCCTTCCAAATCACAAAGATCTACTTAACCAAATCACTGCTTTTTTAAACTATAAAGACTCTTAGGGATCATCCAGAGCAGCCCTCTCAGTCTACAAATCTAGAAACTTTATAGCCGGAGACTAAGAGTAGCTCAAGGTCATACAGTGAGTTAGTGGCAGGTCAGGACTCTCGACTATTGCTACATTCCCGGGATGGTCACCAAACCCACGTCTCCCTCCACTCGCCCAGAACTTCCGCGGGACACGCCCCCTCCCAACTCGGAGCCCTCTTTGGTAAACACTCTCGGGCCTCAGTAAAGGGCAAGTCCAGCGCCCCCCGCCCCCCCCCACGCTGGGTGCCCGTGCGGACGGGTGTGTGTGTAACTGGAGGGGAGCTGGTTCCGGGTCCAAGGCGGGAAGCGTGTCTCTAGGCTTTCCTTGGAGACTCCCCCTCAAGAAGAGCCAGGGGGTGGGTGCAACGCTCTCCCCTGCGCGGCTCCTCCCGGGGTGGGGGTGGGGGATGGTGTGGTTACAGCACTTAACGGACGCTCCCCACCCCAAAACAGAGGCCAACTCTCCCCAGCGGCCACTGATAGGACAGTCCCGCCCCTTGGAGCCGGCTCACCGCCTTCGGATTAAAGCCGCGACCCCAGGCCCCACGCGTTCTACTCGGCCCCCGGGGTCCCGCTGCCAGCCCCTCCTTCCCCAGGGGCGCGGGACGGACGCGCGCGGGGTGAGAGAGGAAAGGGGGCGCGGGAGGGAGGGAGGAGTCACTTCCGGTCGCAAGAGCTCACCTCGTAGCGGAACATTCTTGGGGAGGGGGAGGGAGCGGGGAGGGGAGTGGGGGAGGGAGGGAAGAAGCGCTGACTCCCCGGTCCTCCAAGCGCGGGTCCTCCACCGGCTCGCGACCCCTGGCCGCCGCCGTACGCCGGAGCGTGCGTGGGAACGTGCACAGGCGCGCCTCGGGGAGGGCGGCCGCCCCGGTCGGCGCCCTGCGCGGCGGCTGCGCGGGGACAGATTTCGCGTCCCGCTTCCTAGTGTCAGCGGCGGGAAGGAGGTCCCGTGGAGAGAGACTGCGCACGCGCCGCCCGTCGGGGGCTCCCTCGCGAGCCGGACTCGCAGCTCCGCCCCCAGCTTCTTTGCGCCCGCCCCGCGCTCAGGTCCGAGTCACGAGTTTTCCGTCACCGACGGGGCGGAGAAAACCCCTGTGATTGTCACAGGATGTGGCTTTGGAGAGACCCAGGCTGAGCCCGGGCTGGGAGAAATGGAGGTTCCTGGGCTGTTTTTCCAGCGACCAGCACGGTCATCGGGGGGCTCGGCTGTCCTCGCGATACACCCTGTGCGCGGAGTAGAGGGGGAAAAGCCCGGCAGGTGCAGGTCATCGAAAGGGGCTGAATTCGTCGCCACTTTGAGCGGCACGTCACCCGCTGAATCCACAGCAGGTCGGGGCTGTGATTTATGTGTCTCGAGGTGATGACGGCGCCCGGTTTTTATAAAAAGCGCAGGCTTGTTCCGGGAGGTTCGACCAGGGTGATATTTTTAGGCGCCAGGCGCTCCGGGCACGTGGCGCGGGGGAGCCAGCAAGGTCATCGAGGCCGCGGAGCGCCACCCCGGCTGGGGGACACCACCTCCCGAGCGGACCGCGCCCAGGCAAGAGTTTGTCCTGGTTATAAGCCTCCGCACCCTGGTTCCGGGAGCCTGAGGGTTCGCGACCTGTGCTGGCACCGCCCAGGCCCTTTCGGCCCGTGGCGCTCACGGCACTCTCTCTTTTCCCGTAAGGACTAAACTTCAACCGCGAAGAATGAATTCCTGTGCATTTCGCAACTCCCTTCTCCGCGTGTCTGAAAATGCAGCCTGGCCTAGGAATGGCATACAGTAAATTCCTCACATGCTAATCAGAGTCTGAGCCTGGACACTTTGGATTTGGAAATAGAAGTTCTGGGTGGGAATCGGTGCTTTGTCACTGGCCATCAGATTTTGGGCAAGTTATCTAAACATCTCTGAGCCGTAATTTCTTTGTAAAATGGGTTTAATGGTACCTGCCTCACAGAGTAGTGGTTCAATGGCATGATGATGTTACTGTTACTAATAATGGTTGAAATCTGCCTGGCATTCTGCTATGTGCTGTATATGGATTATCTCATTAAATCCTTCCTTATGCCAACCCCGCGAGGTAGGTACTATTATTTTCTCTCTTTTGTAAGTGAGGAACCAGAGGATTAGAGATGTTAAGTAATTTGCCCCAAACAACCCAATGGCAAGTAGCAAAGCTGGCAACTGGGGCCTCTTTGAGTCCAAAAACCTAGTATCTGAAGCACTGTGACAATTTAACAAAAGCAAGTGCTTACGTGGACCAGGCCTGAACCTTAAAGAAGAGTAGCAGGCGGAGGATAAGATGATTGTTGGGTTTCAGGCATGCACTGAACATTACAAAACAGTATTAGGTAACAGCAAGTCTTAATAATGACCAAAGAATCTGTACTATATAGACCAGGGGTTGGAAACTATGACTTTTGGCTGAATCAGGCCCGTTGCCTGCCCCCGTTGCCTGCCTTTTTAAGTAAAGTTTTGTTGGAATAGTCACTCTCATTTATTTATAAATTGTCTTTGGTTGCTTTAGGGCAATGAAGGCAGAGGTTAGTACTTAGAGTGGAGACCATTAAGCAAGCAAAGCCTAAAATATTTACTAACTGGCTCTTTATGGAAAATGTTTGCTAATCCTTGATACAAATCATGTTTCTCATCACTGTGTTAGAAATCAGACGTTAAAAAGAAACATCTCTAATTCATGGACTACTTAAGAAAATATAATGGCAAGCAGAAAATGTTTAGAACTGAATGATAAAACATATTAAGACTTTCAGGATACAGCTAAAGCAGTTTATAAAGGAAAATAGGAAAGTCTGAATATAAATGAAGTGGGTAAACTCGAGAAAGAAAGAAATAATACTCAGTATTTAAAGAAACAGAAGTCACAGTGTCATAGAGAGGATGAACAAAATTATCCATTTTTTCTCACCTAACAACCTGTTTGTGAGGGAGATTGAGAGTTCCTTTAAGAGAATAATGCATTTGTGTGTGTGTGTGTAATAGATCCTTTAATAAGAATGGGTGGGTACAAGTTCTCACAAGTGATTCTTTCGAAATAAGGTATGATGCCTCTGGAGAGTGTCCTTTTGGGTGGGTGAAAGAAAAGTCTCTCTTGCATGCCAGGTAGGTAGAAGAGGCTTTGACAGTTGAGAGAGGGCATCAGTTAGACAAAGCCGCTGAGTTTTCTTTAGCACCGTCTGTCCTTTCTCCAAAAGCTGCAAATAATCCCTTGTGGTATTTATAGGCTCTATACATTCTTTTAAAAAAATTGAGGTAAAACAATCCATTTTCTTGTGAGACTCTTTTAGATGGCATTGATTTTCATTAAGTAATGTGCAAATCTAAATCAGTGGTTCTCTGCCTCATCAAGAGTGCTAATTAAAACACTGCTGGGCCTCATCCCCAAAGTTTCTTTTTTTTTTTTCAAAGATTTTATTTATTTATTTGACAGAGAGAGACACAGCGAGAGAGGGAACACAAGCAGGGGGAGTGGGAGAGGGAGAAGCAGGCTCCCCGCAGAGCAGGGAGCCCGATGCGGGACTCGATCCCAGGACCCTGGGATCATGACCCGAGCCAAAGGCAGTCGCTCAACCAACTGAGCCACCCAGGTGCCCATCCCCAAAGTTTCTGATTCAGTAGGTCTGAAGTACGACCTGAGAATTAATTGCATTTATAACAAATTCCAGGTGATGCTGATGCCACTGGTTCTACTTTGAGAATCATTGCTTTAAGACATTAAACGTGAATGCAAAGTGTTATAGAGAAGGAGAAAGAGTGATGGACTGCCCAGAAGGTGATTTTTCATGAAGCCAGAAAAGTTACAGTACTTTGTTCCTCCTGGAGGTTCTAAGAGAGAATCTGTTTCCTTACCTGTTCTTAGCTTCTAGAGGTTGCTTGCATTCCTTGGCTTATAGCCCCATCCTCCCATTTTCAAAGCCAGCAGCCAAGCATCTTTCAAACTCTTCCTCTCATCCTCTCCTTCTGTTACGACATTTTTCTCTCCCACCCTCCTGCTTCCCTCTTATAAAGACTGTGATAACAGTAGGGACATCTGGATAATCCAGGATAATCTCCCCATCTCAAAATCCTCAATCCCATCTGCAAAATCCCCTGTACCGTATAAAGTAACATATCAGGGGTTCTGGGGATTAGGCTATGGACATTTTAGGGGGAGGGGGCATTTTACAGTTTACCACATGTCGCTCAGTTGTTTAAGCATCTGACTTGATTTTGGCTCAGATCATGATCTCAGGATCTTTTTTTTTTTTTTTTAAAGATTTTTATGTATTTATTTGACAGGCACAATGAGAGAGGGAACACAAGCAGGGGGAGAGGGAGAAGCAGGCTTCCCGCTGAGCAGGGAGCCCGACACAGGGCTCGATCCCAGGACCTTGGGATCATGACCTGAGCTGAAGGCAGTTGCTTAACTACTGAGCCACCCAGGCGCCCCATGATCTCAGGATCTTGAAATCAAGCTCTGCTTCGGGCTCTGCGGTCAACGGGGAGTCTGCTTGAGATTCTCTCTCTTTCCTCCCTTTGTTCCTCCCGCCCCCCATGCTCCTGCACTCTCTCTCTCAAATAAAAAAATCTTTAAAAAAATAAAATGATTTTTGGTAGTATAATGAGAAAATGTTTTAAAATTTAACTATTTCATATACTACTTAAAGGTGAAAAATAGAAGGTTTCACTAGGTGAAATCATGACGGATCATTAAAAGGAGAGTCAAGAATGAGTGAGAAGGAGCCGGCCCACCCTCCTGCTATGGATCCCAGGGGGGCAACTTAGTGCTGACCAGGCCTTGACACTAATGCATTGGGGGACATCTGTCTTGTATTAGTAGTAGTACTGATTGGCTGCCATGTAGAGGTGGGGAAATAGGGTCGTTTTCCGGGGTAGATCATGGCATTGGAAAATAAAAGCAGAAAGCCAGCTTCTTCATACATTTTTCTGTTACTGAACTGTGGTAAGAGTTGGGGTGAGCTTATAGTTGCTTCCATTATTTCCTTTGGCTTTTTTGAGCATTGCAGGGCAGGGATGGGGGCACAGGGAACGATTCCCCTTGTCATTTATCTACACATCCCAGGAAAGGATGAGGATTCCCTCCTTCCTGGGCCCTTCTCAGAATAAGTGATGGAAGGCAGAAACTATATATTTTGCATTCAGCATTTTATTCTTATCACATCATTTACTTCAGCACTGAATAGTAATTGTTTGAACATTTTTGAGTTCTTTCAATCATAAACCAATATGTAGAGAAGAATTGGCAAAATAAAAAATGGATTCTACCTCCTGGTTCATAGGAGAGGTCTTCACATGCTATACCTTGAAGGCCCAGGTCTTCAAGTACCTTTAAGTATCTCTTTGCCTTGGTTTCTCACAGTTCCCATAGAATCACGAGAACAGGGTCGGGTGGCAGCATACCATTCAGAATATATCATTGCCCATTTACTGGCAACAGCTGGGGCTAAGGAAATGGGGGCAGGGTAGAAGAGGACTAAGAAGGGTAGGGAGTAAGGGAGGAAATCCTATGAAAGCTTAAAAAGCCTAATTCCCCATCCAACACCTTGGTGTTCCCTGTGCCTCGGGCTCACTGGTAGTCAGTTTTGAGCATTAGCTGGACTTCTGTATTTCCCCCTGTCTAAGTGAGAGAAGGTAGGTAAGCTTCTAGTTTCTGGCCCTTTCTTGAGACAGTTGGGGAAAGAGATCCAGGCTGTTCCCTGAGACTGATACACTGGAGGGAACTTGGCTGTATCTCTTTGGGCAAACCTTGCAAGAGAAAGAGGTTCGCTCAAAAACGTATGAAAATTAGTCAAATTCCATGAACACCATTCTCCAAAAGCTACCTTCTTGAGGCATTCTATTAACAGAAACCTGATGTAAAATACAATGATTCAGGCATACTTGCTTCCCTCACCTAGTAGCTAACACTTAGGGCAATTTTGATTGAAGAGATGCTTGCATTCTGGTATTCTTTTTTTTTTTTTTTTTCCTATTGGTGAGATAGGATATTTATACTGTAAAACACATGACATTTTGGACTTTGATGGTTAACTTGGGATGTTGTAGTTATTCGATATGCATAACAGACCATCCAAATTTAGTGGTTAAAACAATAACGATTTATTTCGCTAATGAATCTGCAGTTTGGCCAGGACACAATTGGAACAGCTCATCTCTGCTCCAGGTGGCATCATGTGGTACTGTAGCTTGAAGCTGGGACTGACTCCGTGGTGGTTGCTAGAACCATCTGAAGTTTTACTGCCTGGCAGTTGGTGCTGTCAGCTGAGACCTCGGTGGGGTTTTCAGCACTTACATATGGACTTTCTGTGTGGTTTCTTACTTTTTTCACAGCATGGTGGCTGGGTTCTAAGAACAAGTGTCCCATAAGGGCCAGTTGGAAGCATATCCCCTGTCAGGACCTAGTCTCGAAAGTGACATAGTGTCACTTCTGCTGTAGTGATAAGCCCACCTAGATTCAAGGGCAAGAAAGATGGACCCCACCTCTGGACGGAAAGAGTGTCAGCATCACAGTGGGAGGAGAGCATGTGGGAAGGGATATGTCATTGTGGTCATTTTGGAAAATTGGAGCTAAGAAGTAGGAGACAAGGCTTTTTAGATAAGAGAGGCCAGGAGACCTCTTGAAACAGAAGTCAAATCAAGGTAAGTATTTTTCTTCCCTTAAAAAGTCATCATCACCACCACCACTACCTGGGTTTATATGATGGTGTGTGAAGATGGGACAAAATTAAAGGACACCTGGGAAATTTTTGCAGTTTTGGAGCTTATAAAATCTTTGGTAAGGACATTCCCTGATTTCCATGGTGGAATGTAGGCCATGTGCGTGCAAAATCCCCATAAAATGCAGCTTGTCAGTCATTGCTGTGTTCATTCCAATAACGGGGGCTATGTTCTCTATTGCTGCACAAAAAATTACTCCAAAACATAGCCGCTGAAAACTAAAATCACTTACTATCTTACAAGGCTTTGGAGGGTCAGGATTCCAGGAGGAGCAGCTTAGCAGGGTGGTTCTGGCTTGTAGTGTTTCAGGAAGTGCAGTCAAAACGTCAGCTAGGGCGCCCGTCA